TAAGGCCGCTCTCCCCAGGAACCTCATGCAAAGGCTTTCCAATTACCTCCCGGAGAGCTTCGTGGAGATGTCCCATGAGGATTTCTGCTTTATCCCCGTACATATAGACCTTCTTTTCCAGTAGCTGCACTGCCAAGGACTAAAATGATAAGCGTCTAGGGCAAACAAATCATGAAAAACCCATTGATAATATTCCTGTTCTGTTTAAAATAAATGTTTACATGTTTAAAACACTTACCGAATAATCCTTCCCCTGATTCAGGGTCAGGGTTAACGCCTGGGGACGATTGGTAGGGAATCTCTGTGAGGGTGATGAAGAGATCCTGGCTGTCTGGGAAATCAGCGTTGTAAGCGCTGTCGACTGCCTTGTCGTCCTCCTCACCTTCCTCATCTTCCCCATCCTCTAACATCTCCGAGGAAGTGGCTGTCGACAATATCCCATCCTCAGAGTCCACGGTCAGTGGTGGGGTAGTGGTGGCGGCCGCACCTAGAATGGAATGCAGTGCCTCGTAGAAACTGTATGTCTGGGGCTGGGTTCCGGAGCGTCCGTTTGACTCTTTGGTCTTCTGGTACGCTTCTCTCAGCTCCTTGATTTTCACGCGGCACTGAATTGCATCCCGGCTGCATCCTCTCTCTGTCATGGCTTTTGAGATCTTCTCGTAGATTTTTGCATTCCGTCTTTTCGATCACAGCTCCGAAAGCACGGTCTCATCGCCCCACACAGCGATCAGATCCAAGACTTCCCGATTGGTCCATGCTGGGGCCCTCTTTCTATTCTGAGATTGCATGGTTACCTCTGCTGGAGAACTCTGCATCATTGCCAGTGCTGCTGAGCTCGCCACGATGTCCAAACAGGAAAGGAGATTCAAACTGCCCAGACAGGAAAAGGAATTCAAATTTTCCCTGGGCTTTTCCTATGTGGCTGGTCAGAGCATCCGAGCTCAGACTGCTGTCCAGAGTGTCAACAGAGTCGTGCACTGTGGGACAGCTCCCGGAGCTATTAGCGTCAATTTCCATCCACACCTACCCTAATTCGACATGGCCATGTCGAATTTAGCGCTACTCCCCTCGTTGGGGAGGAGTACAGAAATCGAATTTAAGAGACCTCTATGTCGAACTAAATAGCTTCGTTGTGTGGACGGGTGCAGGGTTAATTCGATTTAACACTACTAAATTCGACAAAACCTCCTAGTGTAGACCAGGCCTTAGGCTTCTAAGTGCCTTAGTCAATTTTATGCAGTGTTGTTATAGCCATGTTGGTCCCAGGATATTAGAGAGACAAGATGGGTGAGGTAGTATCTTTTATTGGACCAATTTCTGTTGGTGAAAGAGACAAGCTCTGTGTAGCTCAAAAGCTTGTCTCTCTCACCAACAGAACTTGGTCCAATAAAAGACAATATTTCACCCATCTTGTCTCTCTAAGTCAATTTTAGGTAAGACAGTGTGACTGCAGCCCCTAATTGTCTGGCTTGAATCTTCACATTTAAAAGCTTCATCTGTCATGAGACAATATGGTCCAGATAAGATGATGAAAGCTGCTTTTGATCCACTCAGTTCTTTTGATCTTAAGTTTCTTAAGTGAGAGGCTATTTTCCTGGTTACCTTTTTTTTTTTTTTTAAAGGTTACTTTGGTTTGCTTTTTTCATACATCCTGTTTTGCTCGCTCGGAGTAGTGCACAATTGCCCTCTAGTGGAGATCATTTATGTCAACTTTGCTTCAGACACAGGATTATATTTCCACAATCTAATATTCTGCTCCAGTTTTGAGCCTGTAATTTCTCCAGGTTTTTGCAGTACCAGTCATCTGGCCATGGGAAAAGTGAGCACAAAGTGAATGAATTAAAATAGCTTCATTATAATAGTCTTTTAAACAGTTTCCAAAGTCAGGTTCCTCAAGCACTTTTTGTATAAAAATACAATACACAATTTATACAATACACAATTTTTGTGTAAAAATACTTCTTTATATAAAAGAAAATTATAAGAAGGAAATCTTCTTAAGGGCACTTGCTTAATCTGGCCACTTCGGAAAGTCAAAATAAATTAAGGATGATCCGCAATCCTAGTACTCCCAATATTTATATCAATAATTTGGTATTAAAGTTGCAAAGAAAAGAGTAGAATGTCAGATCTTTAATCTGAATTATGAGTGTGCAAATACATGAAAGGTCTCTAGCACTATGTAATATTTGTCTTTGTTCTTTAAAGATCACAAGTGTACCATGTTTAATTGTACAGCCCACCTTTTTCTTAGCGTGCCTAGGTCTGTTTAAATTCTATTCCATCACAAATTAAGCTATCAAGCAAGGCAGACCATTCCCCGCGTACACAGATAAAGGGTGTGTGACATGGGATACAAATGCTACACCAGGCAGGAAGCGGTTAAGGAGCAGCTGTGGCCTCAGGCAGCTTTATCCTGCTGCATTTGCGAGGCATGCCAGTCATGGAGGAGGAACCTTGAAAAGAAGAAGCCAGGTTCAGAAGGGCCAAACCCTGGCAGGTGGACAGTTTTCTTTCTACTAGCTGCTAGGCGGGAGACACGAAAAAGAAGAAACTGGCTTACTGACTCTGCTGAACCTGGGGACTAATTGGGGAAAAGGACCCAGTTGAAAGAGCAGTCAGCTGAGGTCCTATAGGTGGCAGAAGTCCAGCTCTATGAAGGAGACCTGGAGGACTCCTGCCTTGAGGAGGGTGACCAAGGGACTACCTGAATCACAGTTCCAGCTCCAGGAGGAATACTGGGGGGGACCAGAAGAACTCTTTGGAATATAGCCCAGTTACTGCTGGAGAGGTTGGGCAGCAGCTTTGCAGAAGTTCCTCACTTTAGCCAGCTGGAAAAAAGCGGAAGGCAGCTACAATTTCATGTCGGGAATTACATCATTCACAGGCCTGGGGAAGACACTGACAATCAGGAAAAGGTAAAAACAGCGCATGGAAGCAGAGGGGGAATTGAAGGAACAATCCTTAGCCACCTAAGCATAGTCCCTGGGCTGGAAATCTGTGTCACAGACAGGAGCATGGGTGGTCAGGCCTGGTGGTTGGAGCTGGAGTCAGAGACCAGGAACAGTGCTGAAGGTCAGAGCTGGAGTCAGGAACCAAGCACAGAAGGAAGGCTGGCATGGACTGGAGCACAGCAGAAGGAGCAAGGCAGAAGCTGGGCTGGAGCAAGGCTTGGGAACAAGGCTTGCACAGGAATGATCACAGCTGCGGCATAAGCGTTGAGCAACTACTGGCTTAGTGCTGCTGCTGGGCTTTAGAGCAGGTCTTGTGATGCTTCTCCGTCAATCTGGTGATTTGTTTGATCAGGGTGTTCAGCTGTGGGACAGCTAGCTGGTCTCAGGATCAACTGCAGACCCTGATTCCTGACACCCAGAAGAGAGGGTGGGCCTGTGTTCCCCTACCTCTCCCCCAGATCAAGAGGAGACGGACAGGCTTCCAGATTGAAAGAGGTCAGGAATTACACACCCCAGATGGGGGCCAAGGCCCTGGCATAGAGGCTACTAGACTTTAGGTTTTTCCTGTTTTATAACCTGGACTCTGAATTACCTTGAAAGGGGCATGTCTCAAGAATGGCCTGGCCAGAGGGCCAACTCACAAGGCAAATGGGACCGCTAGCAGGCCTGGATGGCTGGTCTGCAGAACTGTAGCGGAGAAAATCCCTTCAATGTCACACCTAGCCGTAAGGGGATGCTCTGACTGTAAGTCACTTTTCCACAGGTATCAAATAGATGATTAAAGAATCACTGTTTCCTAGCAAAGCTTTTAAGTTCAAATACGTAATATAAGTGCTATACTAGTTCAAATCTATTCTGCTTATCAGAGAGTATATAGCATTATAGAGAAATACTCATTTACTCAAGCTATTTAATAACAGCGAACAAATTTAGCACCACATTACAACTCACAACTGAATAAAGAAAGCAAACCATACATATCAAAATATGGTTCATGTTCTAACACAAAAAATCCTACATTGTATAACAGTTGAGGTTGCTCAATTACAACCACCACCAATCTTAAGTTTAAACTATGAAATCTCTTTTATACAGGTTTGTTTACTGCCTTCATCACTATAGTATATGAGCCTCTTCCAGTAGTGTATTGAGTGACATGACTAACATCTGCTACATATGGTTTGTTCTTTCTCTCATTCTCTTGCCATGGCAAGAATTGTGTGAATAGTGGAGTGTTTTGTTGTGGTAGGGGTTTATTTTTGTGTGTGTCCGTGTTATGTTCTGTATTTATATTGGAAAAGGCAAGATCACAGAAGCGCCCCTTGCACTTGGAGTGGGAAGATGGTGAAGTTTGTGATAGGCCTTACTTACTGTGGGAGTTCATTCCACAGTCTTGGACCAGCCCCTCAGAAAGTTCTGTCCCCTGCACAGATGAGCTTTACCATTATGATGGTAAGTTCTGTTGGACCAGAGGTATGGAGCTGTGTCAAAGCTGTGGGTGATCTTTTAGACATCCTGGGCCCAGGACATTGAGTGCCTTGAAAGTAAGGTAGGGATTAGACCTTGAACTGGATTTGATATTTTATGGTAAACCAATGTAGAGACTAAAGGACAGGTGTGATCTGCTTGTGATAGCCTGTGTTGCTGAGAAGACATGGTGTAACATTCTTTGCTGTTAAAGTTTCCTAAGCGCTGATGACTTCATGCCCAGGTATATTGCACTGTTGTCCAGTAGAGCGGTAACTAAGACATGTATAACCAAGGCTAGATCAGCGTTTGCCAGGATGGTATGGTGTCTCCTAGCCAACTGGAGATGGTAAAAAACCATTACTTATGGATGCTGTTATGTGAGAATTTAACGTTAGCAAGAAATCCAAGAGTCAATCCATAATCAAGTTATGTAAGATAGACTACATAACTAACTACTTATAGAAAACATGGCCTTCATCTGGCTCCATTCAAACACAGGTGTTTCATCTATAAGAAGTATAAGCAAATGCCCTACCAAAACCACCTTAACAATTTTGTTTTTGTTTTGTTTTCCAGGGCTGTTGTACTTGACAATTCCTTTGTGCACAACTTTCCCCTCCCTAATTGCTTTTGGCTCGCTGTTGGGATTTTTTGATGCAGGAAACTATGTTCTTTTACCTGTTCTAACGCTAGACTTGATGGGAGCAGAGAAAATGCCTGTGGCCTGGGGATTTATGATGGCTGTCCACACAATTAGTTGTTTTGGTCCACCATTTGCAGGTGAGTTATCTAATACAGAGGAGTTGTATTTGAATGTGTTCCTAAATAATGATGCTTTGCATATGCTGGTATTTATATGTTTTATCCATATGAAGAACAATATTTAGCCCTTTATCTATTAATAGCATTGCTAGCAATATTAAAGTGTCCTTTAATGATTTCCACTGTCTGTAGTTCTTGAGACAGCCCCCTCCTCATAGAACTAGGGATGAAATTGGAGAAATGAATGGTAGGAAGAGAAATATTAAACCTTCCCTCCTTCAAGCTGATGTTGCCATACATACGTTTCCTCTCTCAAGATGAATGATTTTTCTGTTCTTTTTTCTGTTGTGACTGTGACAGATACACAAACACACAGCTATCTTGAGACGATTATGTTTAATTTTATGAATATTATCTGTGTATATGAGCAAGCTCTTGAAAGCCTGAAAACTTCAAAGACCATGATATCGAGATGAGTGAGACGAGAGGGGCTCATGGACTATTCCGAGATCTTTGTATCAATAAGCTTTATGTATTTGTTTGTTCCTAACTGATTGGGGATGTTCCCTGTGGAATCTGGAATCACTATGGGGTGATTAATGCAAAATCCCAAAGCCAGTTATATAAATGTCCATCTTTATGGCTTGGGCCCCTGGGGATACAGACAGTGACTGGTTTTACCCATTTTCAAGAGGCTGAGAGACTAAGGGTATGACTATATGTACAGCACTGAAGTGGCACAGCTGTACTGATACAGCTGTGCCACTGCAGCGTGTCTTGTGAAGATGCTCTATGCCGACAGGAGAGAGCTTTCAAGTCGGCATAAAAAATTCATCTTCACAAGCAGCATAAGCAACGTCAGTGTAACTTATGTCATTTGGTGGGGAGAATATTCATATCCCTGAGCGACATACATTTTGCCGACATAGGCTGTAGTGTAGACATAGCCTGAGGCTTTAGGGTTTAAAGACTGAGTTTAAACAGATTCAGGGCTTTCTTTTCTATTCAACAAGCAGACCTGACTTTTGATCCAAGTAGGGACCCAACCCTGCTGGGAGGTTGGAAGACTTGAACCTGTCAGATTCCACCCTGCGGAAAATTGGTGATTTCTGATACCTTTAGTGTGCATTTAGATTAAGACCTTTTTATTGTTTTATATGTTTTCTCTGTATGCCTTTGTCCTTAAATAAATGTACTATGCTTTGAAAGAGCAGTTTGGTTCCTGTTAAATCACCGTTGTCCTTGGAGAGAAAGTAAAAAGCAGGGGCTAGACATTAGTTAGACCTGCTTGGGGCAATCACAGTTAATTGTAATAGGTTTCAGAGTTGTAACGATGTTAGTTTCTACCAGCAAAAACAACGAGGAGTACTTTTGGCATCTTAGAGACTAACAAGTTTATTTGGGCATAAGCTTTCATGGGATAAGACCCACTTCATCAGATGCATGGAGTGGAAAATACAGTAGGAAGATGTATATACATAGTAAATGAAAAGATGGGAGTTGCCTTACCAATTCTAATGAGACAATTCAATTAAAGTGGGCTATTACCAGCAGGAGGAAAAATCACTTTTGTAGCGGTAATCAGGCTGGCCCGTTTCAAACAGTTGACAAGAAGGTGAGTAACAGTAGGGGGGGAAATTAGCATGGGGAAATTAGTTTTTAGTTCTTGTAGTGACCCATCCAGTCCCAGTGGTTATTCAAGCCTAATTTGATGGTGTCCAGTTTGCAAATTAATTCCAGTTCTGCAGTTTCTCGTTGGAGTATGTTTTTGAAGTTTTTTTTGGTTGAAGAATTGCCATTTTTAAGTCTGTTGTTGAGTGTCCAGGGAGGTTAAAGTGTTCTCCGACAGGTTTGAATGTTATAATTCTTGATGTCTGATTTGTGTCCATTTATTCTTTTGCGTAGAGACTGTCCGGCGTGGCCAAGGTACATGGCAGAGGGGCATTGCTGGCACATGATGGCATATATCACATTGGTAGATGTGCAGGTGAATGAGCCCCTGATGGTGTGGCTGTTGTGGTTAGGTCCTATGATGGTGTCCCTTGAATAGATATGTGGACAGAGTTGGCAACGGGGTTTGTTGCAGGGATAGGTTCCTGGGTTAGTGTTTTTGTTGTGTGGTGAGTATTTGCTTCAGGTTGGGGGGGTTGTCTGTAAGCGAGGACTGGCCTGTCTCCCAAGGTCTGTGAGAGTGAGGGATCGTCTTTCAGGATAGGTTGTAGATCCTTGATGATGCGCTGGAGAGAATTTAGTTGGGACTGAACTGCAGCCTAAACCCCTGGTCAGGAGGGCATGTAGGAGATCAAAGTTCAGATCCCTTCCCCACATCAGGTAGAGTAGGGAATTGAATCTGGATCTCCAGAATCCTAGGTGAGTGCTCTAACCAGTTCATTAAAGCTTACAAAGGAGGCAGCACCTCATCCTCTGGCTATTTTGTGAGTCTTTTCCTTTGTCAAAGTGCCGGGAAAAGCAAAACGAATTTTTCAGGACTAAACAAAAGGTTTCATTTGTCATTGCCAAAACTTTTTGACTTTTTTTGGTTCAGTCGAAACTATTCAGCAAACTCAACATGAGTTCACAAATAGTTTGTTGACCTGAAACTGAATTTTTTAGTGAATACACTATCCATCCAAAAAAAATTCACCTAGTTCTACTCCTCACATGCGCCATAGAAACAAATCTTGATGTAATGGGCTTTCAGCCCACCAGGAACTGCATCACCTGACTACTCCACCCACCATGAAACCTTTCTAAGAGATGTGGGATGTTTCTCCATAAAGATTGGTGATTCCATATATACTATATAAATTGAAAATGCTCTCTCACACTTGAGTACATAATGTGTCTAAAAATATTGGATTAAATAAAATAAAGGGTTTCAAAAGGAGTTTAATTTATTTAGGTTATAGGGTTTTCTATCTTTTCTAAGGCACTCATCATTGTATTATAGGATAATAAAGAACAATGTGGAGATAAAGATCTGCTTTGATGCAGGGAGAATATGATTATATGCAATTGGAATATTATTTGTTTCAGGCTGGATATATGACTTATTAGGAAGTTACAACATTGGATTTGTAGTGCCTGGACTTTGCTCTGTTGCAGCAGCAGGTATTCTTGCTTTCATTCCACGGCTTAAAAATACAGCAGTACAACAGAAGAAGAACATTATTCATGCTTCTGTTTGTGAGATAACAAACAGTATAATACCTTGGGAGTCCCCACCTCATTCAATACAGGTAAACAAAAGATTGAATGCAGCTATGCTAAAATGGTCTTTCTATGCTAAAATGTCTTTATTCTATGCATATAGGAACTGGTTTTCTAAATTTTACATGATGCTAAAGTAGCTATATATTACTAGTGGAGGAATTCTGCAGTAAAAAATTAAAAATTGTGTGCCAAAAATTTAAAAATTGTGCATACAGTGTTTTAAAATTCTGCAAAATTCTGCATATTTTATTTGTCAAAATAACACGATATAATCATGCCAGTTTCAATAATTTTGAAATAAATTTCCAAAATATCTGTCAGCAACTATGTCTGTAACAATACAGACACAAAAAAATTCCCCTAGGAGTAGACAGTTAAAGAAACTCCTATGACAATCCAGTTCCTGTTTTCTCTGCCCCCTTCCCCACCATCAGAGCCCAGCCAGGGGGCCAGACGCCCGCCCCCAAGATCCTAGCTATAGGGTGCCCCCCCAGCCCAGACACTTGCACCCATGCCCCCGAGAGCCCAGTCGCGGGGCACCTCCCAGCCCAGACACTTGCACCCCTTATCCTCAGAGCTCAGCCACGGGGTGCTCCCCCACCCAGACACCCGCACCCCCTACCCCCAAAGCCCAGCTGCGGGCCCCCCTCAGCCCAGACACCCAAACTCCATACCTCCCAGAGCCCAGCTGCGGGCCCTCCCCAGCCCAGACACCTGCATTTCCTATCTCCCGCCCCCCAGCTGTGGGTCCCCCTCAGCCCAGATACTCACACCCCGTCCCTCCCATACCCCAGCTGGCACACACACCCCCTCCGCCCAGAAACTTGCCCAGACCCCCTACCCTCCCAAAGCCCAGGGATCCAGAGGGAGAAACAGCCTGATGCTGGGTCACAGGTTTGTGTGGAGTTGCCTGTATGCCACCTCCTTCCTTAGGGCGTGCCAGGAACTTCAGCTGCCCAGAAATCTCCTGCTTGAGTGTCTTCTGTATGAGAGCTTAGTTCTGCCAGGTCCATTGGCTCCTACTGGTGGCCAGCAGCTCTTCAGCCCATTTCTGGGGGAGGAGGGAGGAAATTCTGCACAGAACATGAATTTGCTTAGAAATTATGCATTGTGCAGTGGTACAGAATTCCCTCAGGAGTAATAGATAGATAGATATTTCTAACCTTCATTAAAAGATTAGCACAATCTTATAATTTATTAATGTTCTTGTATTGATATATTTCTAACCTTCATTAAAAGATTAGCACAATCTTATAATTTATTAATGTTCTTATATTGATATATTCCCTCCATCTTATTAATAATGTAATACTAGTGCAGTAGGCCCACTTAAAAAATTTCTGCCTATTTAAAAGATTTTATGGGTTTTTCTGGTATTCCCCGTTTGTGTATATATAGAAAATATTTCTCAAACTGATAATTTGCAAACTGGTGGAAACATTGTGGGCTAAATTTCCCATTGAAGTCAGTGGAATTATGCTAGCAGATCATTTGTTCTTCTTCAAGTGATTGCTCATGTGTATTCCACTATAGGTGTGTGTGCTCGCCACGTGCATCGGTACCAGTTTTTCCCTTAGCAGTACCCGTAGTGGGGGAGCACCACTGCGACCCCTGGAGTGGCGCTGACATATCGCGCCATAAAGGGGACTGCGTGCTCCCCCCACCCTCAGTTCCTTCTTGCCGCCAGTGAAGGTAGTCGGAACTTGCTCCAGCCTTGGCTGCAGCGTTATAGCCTTACTAGTATCTAGTTCACTGAACCGTTTCTTTGCTGAACTTTTCTTCTGTTAGTGCCTGGCTCGGGGCATGCCCCGTGGCCCAGGCTTCAAGTCGTGCGACTCTTGTCGCAATTCTATGCCCAGAAGTAATCCACACTCTCAGTGTCTTCGCTGTCTGGGCGAGTCTCACATTAGTGAGAAGTGTAAAATCTGCGGCTCCTTCAAGCCGCGAACGAAGAAGGAGCGTGAGATCCGACTCCGAGAGTTCGTAATGGAGTCGACATTGGCCTCGGCACTGGTGCGTCGAGCTGGCACCGCGCTGGGCTCCGCGTCATCGACACATGGCGAAGTGCCTCCAGTGCGCCGCTCCGAATCGGCATCCGGCACCGTGTCCTCGGTGCACAGCGAGGCAACTTCGACGTCCTGGCACCGTTCCCCAGCGAAAAAGACAGGGAAATTGCAGAGGCACCAGGAAAAGAGCAGGGGTGAGGCCAGACCCAAGTTGGGCAGCCCGTGATCCCCATCGGGACAGAGACCTCCGACTCGCGCTGAGCGGAGTAGTCCAATCCCATCTGCGCGAGTCTCTCCGGAGGTGTGCATGCCCTCGACGCCAGAGGCAGCTCAGGCCGCACGTGATATACTGATGCTTCCGGTGCCGGCAGCGCTGCAGCACTCGGCCCCCCGGTCCCGGGGGAAGCCATCCTTGATTGCCCACCAGCCTTCCCCGGAGGAGTCGAAGATTGAAGCACCTTCCTGGGTTGAGGCACCTAGCAGGGCTTCACGATGCACATCGACCCCACGTCATGACTCCGCCATGAGCGTTTCCCACTCTTCTGGTCCTGAGTGCCGTCGTGCAAGAAGAAAGAGGCGACACCATCCCTCTTCTTCTAGCGACTCCGAGAAGAATAGGTCGCGATCCTGTCGGCACCGACGCTCCCACTCCAGGACCCGGCATCGTAGAGGTCAGACTCGCAGCGCATCCCCGCATTCCCCGCACCAAGGCACCGGCCCACAGGTGCCACGGACAGTCCAGACGCAGCTCTTCGGACGTTTACATCTCGTCGTCCTCCAGGTCAAAGTCCCGGGGCAGGAGCTGTCACGATTGGGACCGTTCCAGCCGTTCTTATGGCACCGTTCACTCTTCCCAAACCTCGGTGTCGACACGCAGTCGTCTATCCTGGGGCCGAGCCATGCCGCTGGACCAACCTACGCCTCCGGCGCCTGACTTGCCTCTACTCCTGGCTGTGCCATGGCAGGGTCAGTGGTGCCAGCTAGCGCCGTGGCCTCAGGCTTCGGCGCACCTCGGTCTGCGCTACGTGGCGGAGCCTCCCAGGGCCGCCCTGCGTCGCCGCTGTGGGTGCCAATCCCCTGACGCCGGCTCCAGCACCGGACCCCAAAGTAGAGCCAACGGTGCTGCTTGCCTTTGAAGGTGCTGTACCTTCCACCTCAATGGCGCAGGGTGATTCGGTTGCGGTACCGTCTCCTTCTTCGCAAGAGGACTTTAAGGCCCATCAAGAGCTGCTTCGGAGGGTGGCAGCCAACCTCGAGCTCCAGGCCGAGGAGATGGAGGAGCCCTCCAACACTTTTTATGTCCTCGCCTCCTCGGTCCCGGGGCGTGTGGCGCTCCCCTTTCATCAAGGAGTTGCCAATATCACCGCTGGCCTTTGGCAAACGCTGGCCTCCCTTGCCTCTGTTTCCAAAAAGGCTGAGAGGAAGTACTTCGTCCCTGCCAAAGGTCTTGAGTACCTCTACACTCACCCAGCCCCTAACTCCCTTGTAGTAGAGTCAGTCCACCACCGCGAGAGGAATAGTCAGCCCGCGCCCACGCCCAAGGACAGGGACGCTCGTAGACTTGACTGTTTCGGATGAAAGTCTTACTCGCTGACGAGTTTCCAAATCCACGTGGCCAACCATCAGGCGCTGCTAGGCCGCTATGAGTTTAACCTTTGGGGATCTCTCCCCAAGTTTGAGCGCTTCCTCCCTGATACCGAGGTGAAGGAGTTTCGGGCGCTCATCCAAGAAGGGGCGACCGCGGCCAAGGCGGCTCTCCAGGCTGCTTCGGATGCGGCGGACCCAGCCGCTCGCTCGCTCCTTGGCTACAGTCGTCTCCATTTGGCTAGCATCGTGGCTTTCCTTCTCGGGGCTCTCCTCTGAATCGCAGTTGATAATGCAGGACCTGCCGTTTGATGGCAAGGCCTTGTTTGCTGATCAGACTGATACCCGTCTATATAGGATGAAGGATTCCCATACCACCCTGCAGACGCTGGGCCTGTACGTCCCACCTGCAAAGGACAAACCCAGGCCTCAACTCCCCGCTCCACAAGCTAGGGGTAGATATGAACCCTCGCCTAAGCGGCAGAGGGATCAGAGGCATCGGTCACAGCGCCAATCCCGTTCGGCCCAGCAACCTGGTGCCTCGAAGGGCAAGCACCCCGGGAAACGGCGTTTTTGACTTGTTGAGGGGGGTCACTGGGCCTGTTGCCAATGCTCCCCCCCATCCAGTTAATAAAGTTGCCTTTTTTCAACCGTTTATCGGCTTTCCGACTCCAGTGGTCCAGTATAACGATGGATCAATGGGTCCTCAGCACCATCTCCCAAGGGTACAGGCTCCAGTTTGTGGCAACCCCTCCCAACTGTCCCCCGTCAGGGTGTCAGACCGCGGTTCCGGAGCATGCCCTCCTCCTCCGTCAGGAGGTACAATGCCTCCTTTCCTTGGGAGTGGTGGAAAGGGTGCCTCAAGAGTACCAGGGCAAGGGGTTTTACTCCAGGTATTTCCTCATTCCCAAGGCGAAGGGCGGCTTCGGTCCATCCTCGACCTGCGGAATCTCAACCAGTTCCTGGTGCGTTACAAATTCCGCATGGTGTCCCTGGCCTCCATTATGCCATCCCTAGACCAGGGGGATTGGTTTACGTCACTGAACCTCCAGGATGCGTATTTTCACATCCACATTTTCGAGGGTTACAGGCGCTACCTCCGTTTCCTGGGGAGACTGGACCACTTCCAGTTTATGGTCCTCCCTTTTGGCCTCTCTACTGCCCCCAGGGTGTTTACGAAGTGTATGCGGTGGTTGCAGCCCACCTCAGGAGGAAAGGGCTGCAGATCTTCCCCTACTTAGACGACTGGCTTCTCAAGGGCCGGTCTCGATCCCTGGTGCAGCAGCAGACAAGCTACCTGCTAGGCGCCTGCGGCACCCTAGGCCTGCTGGTGAATGAGGAGAAATCCACGTTAATACCAGTTCAGCGCATAACCTTTATAGGCACGCTGCTAGATTCCCGGGTAGCCTCGGCCTCCCTCCCAAGGGACAGATTCG